GAAATAGTTTAGAAATACATTCTTTTATAATAGGAAGAAGATGATTTGCTTCAAAGGTAGTGTTTGCAAAGAAATATGCTAGTTGTTGTTTCCAATTTGAATATAAGCCTCGAACCATTATCACACGTACATTTTGTGCAATTATTGATTCCTTTTTCCCACTTCCTATATCATATAGACCAACAATCTCATCACAACCTGTATTAAAAATAAATTACTTTTAATAGACATTTCATCAATACAAATACTACAGTGCTTGTCCTGATCTAACATTGTGTTCACTTTTAATTTTAGGGCATCAAATATTTGGTCATTATTCAAACCAGGTTTACAGACCAAATTTTCAGTAATTTTTTGAAGACTTCGTTTTGAGGGCAAATACAATATTCTTCCCATAAAAGCATACACTCTTGGGCCCAAAAAATATAGTGTTAATGCAAATTGTTTATATTCATCAGAATACCTTCTACTTTTTGGACATTTAGTTTTTAAAATTGCTTGAGTTTTCACTATTTGTTTAAAAATTTGTCACACATTTGAAAATTTTTTTTTAAAGATTTATTGTCTTCCTTTTGTTTGGAAGATGCATATGCTTTCTTTGCACTTGCACGCAATTTTTTTATTTTCAATCTAAGTTTCCTTTTTCTTGGTGTACCTCCCGCCAACTTGGAGGGGTTGGTGTTGCAGCTGTGAAAAATGGAGCTGGAGTATGGGGCCTAGGTGGGCTAGACACTTCCTGCCTATTAACATCTGAAATATAAAAATATATTTAATAACCAAATAACATATAAACATTCAAAGTAGATATGTTAATGCTTATTAGTGATTAGTTGAATGCATAATACAGTTGTAGCAATAAATAAAATTACCTGTTACCAGAAACTCTTCCATCAAAGTATCAGGTATAGTATTATGGTTTTTATCAGTTGGACTATTAATTACTTCCTGTACATTATAGGTTTCAGTGGTACCTAAAACCACGACATAAATATTTACTCAGTATGTAACCATAAGATATATTATGTTCTTAATAAGGCTGATAAAAGATCATTAAATTTCACAATTCCAGATCTTGTTATATTATGAAAAACAACAAAACAACTTTGTATATAGTTGTAAGTAGATACTGATTTTTATATGACTTTTATAATAAAGCACTATAATTGTGAATAAATAAAAAGTACCTACCTTCCAGCCTTATGACTTTCTTTAATGGTTCGTCTGTGTGTTTTGAATATTAGCTGTGTGAGAAAATCATTGGATGTGCTTGTTGAAATAAATACTTCCGTGTGTTTCCTTTGTACATGTAGGTACACCGGTTCAAAATGTTTCTAGCACATTCTATAATTAGTATGCAATTCAGCACCCTTGGAAAGCAGATGATACCTATTGGCCGCTTTCAGCCATAATTCAGCTCTAAAAAAAAGTGTATTTAACTAAAATATAAACATTCAGACAACATTTGTAATACGTTTGAATTTAAAATTTAATTTGTTTACCTGCTACGATCAGTCGGTATTGAAAAGTGACTAATTCCTTCCCCAGTTTTCGATGGGCACCCACGAACAACACAATAAAATCCTCCCTTTCGTGCAGCCACCACAATAAGTTTATTACACAAATATATTAAATTAACTAACTAACTAAATAACTAACTAACTAAATAACTTCTCAATACAATACAATAACACTTCTCAATATATAAACAAACAAGAGATCAACACTACTAACACTATGGCCGATTTCGCACATGCGCAAAGAAATTTGGATTGCGAAAAAGCCCTCCGTTTCGCTTCTTGTTGTGATTAGTATTCTGTGGTTACGTGGTAATATCTATGAGAGGTTTTTAGGTTTTACAGACGTGAGTAAAAGCCATAAGGCAAAACATATTTTTGGTTTTTAAAAGGACAAATTAAAATTTTTTGATATCAAAAATAAATCGGTAGGGCAAACTTATGACGGCGCTGCCGTGATGTCTGGTGAATTAAATGGTCTCCAGGCAAAAGTTAAAACTATTGCACCGCAAGCTTTATTTACTCATTGTCATGCGCATAGAATGAATTTAGCTTTGCAAGATACTTGTAAAAAATTAAAGAATGTCGTCTTTTTTTGCCAGTTTAAGCGGATATGCTTCATTATTCTCAAGCTCGCCTAAACTGATTAATGTTTTAGAACGGTTTGTTTCGAAAAAAATGCCAACAGTTTGTCAGACGCGATGGAATTATAAATCTCGGTTAGTTTTCACTGTAGCAGATTTTCGTGAACAGCTTTTGGAAGTTTTTGATTTTATTATTGAATGTGACGATTTTGAAAGTGATGATATCTCGATTCGTGAAGCAATCGGTTTGAAAACTTTATTAAATGATTACTCTTTTAACATGCTTTTAAATATTTTTAAGAAAGTGTTTACCCAAACCGATTTGATATTCAATGTTGTTCAAAATTAGTTAACTGACATTATTCATTCCAAAAATAGAATAACAAGACTGGTGCAAAATCTCAGAGATTTTCGTAATAATAGTAATTTCCGGTATATACGCAGTGACATTTTGGACTCGCTTGATATTTCTGAACCCCAAAAAAAAAGACAAAGGCATGACACAGAAACAGATCTCGAAAAAACGAGTATATTTTGAAATTTTGAATACTATTATTATGCAAATAGATACTCGTTTTTCGAATTTTGAAGATTTCCAAATTTTTGACCTCTTTGACGATTCAAAATTTAAAAGTTACGCCAAAGAATTTCCAAGATATTTATTAGACAGGTTAATTAAAATTATCCATCATTCTTTAATAAAATAAAATTAGAAAATGAATTAAAAGTTTTATATGCTGATCCAAATATTTTCGAAAGATGGGATAAGTTACAAGATATGTATAATTTTATATACTGCAATTCATTACAACAAACTGTTACCGAAATTAATAAATTATTGTCATTAATTCCCTCATTACCACCAACGTCTGCCTCACATGAACGAGATTTCTCTTGCCTCAAAAGAATCAAAACTTATTGTCGAAACACCATGAAACAAGAGAGAATGTCAAGCTTGTCTCAAATGTCAATAGATAAAAAACTTTTAAAATCTCTCCAAAACTCTAATAAATTTTACGATGACGTTATTACCCATTTTGCTACTTCCAAACAACGTAGACTAGAGTTAATTTATAAACATGTTTAGGTTCTAAATTTATAAAAAAAAAACAAAAAACAAGAAAACAAAAAATCTCCTATGATGATTGAAGTCTTTATTAGACGGGATACCTATCTGAGGAGACAAAAAATACCTTGCCGACGTTGTCTCTCAAGCCACGAGCCGCCACTGAATTTTGTTTATTGTTTTTTTTTACAAATTATTATCTTATTTTTACAGTTTCTAATGTAATTTCTATATTTTTTTATCAAGTATAATTTAAATGTATTAAATTGTTACACAACTCCCTTTTTCCTTTTACCCAATCAGTAACTAATTTTTGATACAAATATTTTTTTTATATTCTTATAATTTATGGGCAATCGGTTGTATATTCTTGGATCAAAATATTTAATTGACTGTTACTTGATTGTTTTTAAGGTGTGAGGACATTCGACATTAAATTTTCTTCTTGTTTCATAAGTAGAAACTTTTACTTTAAGAGGAATTTTATCTGTATATTTTTAAGTAGTTCTAAGCAGTACAATTGCCGAACATCAAAAACCTGAGTTTCATGAAAAAGTTCTGAGGAATATTTTTTTTTATTTGCCATATAGTTTAAGACACCATTTCTGAGTACTTTGAAGGGTCACCAGATGGCAATCAGCTACTCCACCCTAACCTAAAATCCCATATACAAGATGAAATTGAACTAGAGATAGGTAAACATTTTAAGCTGTTCAACATCCAAAAACTCTTTTAAATAGCGGAATTTTGGTAGCAGTCCTCGTATTTTTCTTATAATATTTTTTATTTGTAAGTCCCATTTTAGGTGCCTGTCAATAATTAAAACTGCTAAATATTTTATGTACTCTGCTTAAAGTTGGCAGAGAATTTTATATATTTATTTTATATATTGCAAAAGGTTGTTGGTATAATTTTGAAGTCTTTTTTTACTATAATTTTAAGATCTTCCCAATTATTGGCCTTATAAAAAATTGGATTTTAGTCATTTTAATCTTGCTTTATTTGTATTTTACATTACATCTGGTACACTCCGAATAAAATCACTAACTTCTTCTTAATTCTTACATCGTCGTTATTTCCTTCTGCTTTACTTTTAACTACTTTGATCTTATTTCAGTGTTCCTCAACTTCTTGTTCTTCGAAATTCATCTATTTTGCTACTTCTTTTTCAATTTTTTTTGTGTCTGTATTTATGTAGACCCCACAAAAAAATAATTTAATCAACAGTTTTAAGACCATTTTAATAAAATCTGGACCTGCAAGATAACCCCTAGGGATTCTTATGAATAGTAAAATTATTGAACAATCAGAAAAATGTAGATAGTTAAGGGTATTTTCCCCATTAAACTGTAATAGTATATTACATAACGAGAGTTGTAAGAAACTAATTACATGCGAGTAAAAAGTTGCGCGCGAGCCGCGTAGCGGCGAGCGCAGTAATTTTACAAGCATGTAATAAGCTTACAACTCAAGTTGTGTACTATACTTTTTCTACGATTATTTTCGTTTATAAAAATAAAAATTAAATTACCACTATATTTACACTGACAGATTAATAATTTTTAATCTGTCAAAATAACGTCTGTTAATTCGTTTCCATGGTAACTCGACCAACTGACTTACGAGGCCTATGTGCTATTACACATTTTTATAAAACTGAAGCGTATTTTTTTTTATTACGTGCTAGTCATTACGTGTCAGTATCTGTTATGATGCATTTACTTAGCATCCAAATAGTAGGTAATAAACAATTTACTAGTAAGAGAGTAGAAAAAATAATAAACGCTTATCTGTTTTATAGTTTTAATATAAAAATAAATACATTACTATTTACACCTATGATTTTATTTTGATGGTCTCGATTGATACTGAAAATAAAAACAAATAATATTAAATAAATTAAACAAAAATATATTTAAAAATAAACGATTCTTAATAAGATAAATAAATCACCAAAAATATCTCGGTTTTACAATCTGATTTATAAAAATCTTTTTTAGAATTTTTGGTTCATGCATACTGATTTATCACTGTTACATTCCTTTTGAGTTGAAATTCTATCTTTTAGTCGGTAGTAGAGAAGATATGGGAATTTCAGATCAAATATGGCGGACAGATCCTTACCTTACCCTTACCAGAAAAGTAATCAATAAAATACAAGTGGCACAGAGAGCGATGGAAAGGTCAATGCTGAATATATCCCTCAGAGACAGAGTATCAAATACAATAGTTAAGAGAAAAACTGGTGTTACTGACGTAGTTCAAAGGATTACAACATTGAAATGGAACTGGGCGGGGTATGTTGCCAGATTAAAAGATGGAAGGTGGAAGAAGAAAATTCTGGAATGGAGAAAGAATGCTTATCGTAATCAAGGACATCCTTCAACAAGGTGGTCAGATTACATTAAGTGCATTCAGCACAAACTGGATTCAGGGTACTCAAGACAGAATGCATTGGAGTTGTTTCTTCTTCTTCTTCGCAAATCCACTAATGGATGTTAGCGATCACATTTTCCATTAATTCTCTATTTCTTGCAATATGTATCAGATATTGTATGTCGTTAATCCCTGTCCATTGCCTTATGTTTCGGAGCCAGGACATTCTTGCGTCCCATTCCTCTCTTGCCTTCAATTTTACCCTCGATTATAAGTTGGAGGAACTGGTATTTTTCATTTCGCATGATGTGACCTAGCTACGCCGTTTTCCTTTTCTTGATGGTTTCGAAAAGTTGGCGTTCTTGGTTTATTCTTTTAAGGACATCTGTATTTGTGATTTTCGCTGTCCATGGTATTTTTAGGATACGGCGATAAAGCCACATTTCGAAAGCTTCTAATCTGTTTATATCCCTCGTTTTGAGTGTCCAGCCCTCTACGCCATATGGCAGCACTGACCATATGTAGCACTTAGTAAACCTTAATCTCTGTTAAAGATCGAACTCTGAGCAAGTCAGTACCTTCTTGAATTTTACGAAAGCTTGTCGAGCTTGCTCAATGCGACATTTTACTTCCCTGTCCGATGCCCAGTCTTCAAAAAGCCACGATCCCAGGTATTTAAATTTACTCACTTTTTCAATGGATTTAGTATTCAGTGTTATGGTGGAGTTTTCAAGTGCATCCAAGTTTCTGGAGATGATCATGAATTTGGTCTTTTTGGTATTAATCTCTAATCCCATTCGCTTACTGTATTCTCCGATTATAGTGACAAGTTGTTGAAGATCGACTATGTTGTCACAAATTAAGACACCATCATCAGCATATCGTATGTTGTTGATCAATACTCCATTCACCTTGATTCCCATCTCTGCATCCTCCAAAGACTCTTGAAATATGGCTTCCGAATAAATGTTAAATAAAAGAGGGGAAAGCACACATCCCTGTCGAACGCCTCTTCTTATATGTATGGGTTTGGATATAGAATTGTCTATTTTTAACTGTGCCGTTTGATGCCAGTACAAGTTTTCAATGCATCTTATGTCGTTTTGGTCTATATCAACTTTCTTGAGAATCTGCATTGACTTGTGTTGGACACGATCAAACGCTTTTTGGTAATCTAAAAAGCATAGGAACACATCCTTCCTCTGATCGTAACAATTTTGGACCAGCACCTGTGTTGCTACTATTGCTTCTCGTGTTCCTAAACCTTGCCTAAACCCGAACTGGGAATCACTGATGTCCCATTCACATTTTTTGTATAATCTTTGATATAGTATTTTTAAGAATATCTTTAAAGTGTGACTCATCAGGCTAATGAGTCTGTGATCCTCACATTTTTTTGCATTGACTTTCTTGGGCAGGGGAATAAAGGTAGAGCGTAACCACTGTTGAGGATAGCATCCAGTTTCATAAATTAAATTAAATATTTTGTGTAGTGCTAAAATTCCCCTTTTATCTATTAATTTGAGTATTTCTGACGGGATCTCATCTGGTCCAGGTGCCTTATTGTTTTTTGAATTTAATATTGCTTTTTCTATCTCCTCTTTGGTGATTGAAGGGCCAGTCAGCAGGTCGTCTGTATAAACTTCACTCATGGGTCTTTCGTCATGGAAGAGCTCCTGGATATAATTGTCCATATATCAATTTTCTCCTTTTCACCTAGCACTACCTGGCTATCCTGATTAACTATGGTAGTTGGTCTTCGTTTTCTGTATATTCCAGCAGTCTCCTTAAGCTTTTTATGTAAATTACGGTCGTTGTGTTGGAATTATTTACGGGAGGCCTATATCCAGCAGTAGACTCAAAACGGCTAATGATGATGATGGCGGATAGCTGGATGTTTAGGTATGTGTCGTTTGGGCGTAAAAGCAGCCTTTGGGGATGTCGGGGGTGATTTACAAGAAGTATAAGGATAGAAAGTGGTTCTTTTAGGGGTTTAAATGGTGAGAAGTAGAAAAATACGTATTCTTTGAAATGAATAAAGTATTTGCAACCACTTTGATGACAGATTTGGATGACTAGGTAGCGTTGTGGCCTCTGTAGATGTACAAGAAAGTCTCACCTAACGTTAGACGCTTATCAGTGTTCGTTAAAATAAAATATAAGAAAATAGTGGTGAAAAGATGATTAAAAAGCTACCAGTAAAACGTTATATAGATAATTGGTAACAAAATATATCTAGATAGCGTTGGGGCTTCCGTAAATGTACAAGAAAGCCTCCCATTATGTCAGAAGGATGGGAGTGTTCGTTAAAATGGTAAAGAAGAAAACAGGGGTGAAAAGATAAATAGAAAGCTATCAGTAGGGCGTAATATAGATACTTAGTATCACAATATAATAAATGAGGAAATTATACAATGTGGATACGTCGTACATATTGGTTATTAGCAAGGCAAAAAGCAACGATTATATTTTTTAGTACTAAATAAGATTTCATTTTATTAATAACTACATAATGCCCTATTGGTAGCTTTTTACTCATCTTTTCTTTTTTTAGGAACAGTTTTCTTTGACGTTAGGCTTTTTTGTACATCTAAAGAGGCTACAACGCCACCTAGTCATCCAAATCTGTCATCAAAGTGACATCAAATTCTTTAATTATTTCAACGAACATGTATTTTTCTACTCCTTACCATTTTCATCCCTAAAAGACCTCTCTGACGACGGAAGAGGTTTTATTATACACTTATACTTCTTGTACATCACCCTCTACATTCCCAAAGGCTAATTCTAGGTCCACAACGCCACATACCTAACCATCCAGCTGTCCGCCATCTTTGATCTAAAATTCCCATATCTTCTCTACTAACGGCTTTCTTTGCTCTGATCCTTGCTTCTTGTTCTATTCAGTTTTTTTAACTATCACATTGAGATCATAATTGTATTTCTAAACTTTACATACGTTACACGTCATATTGCGCTCCTATTGTTCTTCTTCTTCTTCACAAGTGCCTTGTCCATTGCAAACGTTGGCTATTAACATTGCAAATCTGATCTTGTTTGCGGCGCTTCTGAACAGTTTGACCGATGTGAGCCCGAACCACTTCCGCAGATGTTGGAGCTACGAGTGTCTTCTCCTGCCTGACCCTCGCTTACTGTCTATTTTCCCCTTATTATTTTATTTGTTATTTAGTTCCTTCTGGTTAAGGAAGAGAAAAGCTGCACTTTTCACCTTTAAAAGGCATTTTAAGTTTTATCGGTATAACATTTTATCGTCGAGTTGACGGTATTAAGCATTTAAAAAATTTATTTCGCGCGCAAGTCTGACATTCAAAAATACCGGTCACTTCAAGAGTTGTTTCTGAGAAAACGGTTCGTTCTACACAAAAAGTGCTAGCAAACATTTTTCTCCATAATTACCTCCGCTACATTTTTTGTTTGAAATATTACAGAAAATACGTACGTACAGAATATCGATGTTCTCCGTTTTTCCCCTTTACGAGGGAGGTTTTATCGATAAACCCGGAGGTAGCACTAGTAAACTTTTATGCATCTTTTTTGGGATCCCAGACTTGATATTTACGGCAAAATTCAGCTTGTTCGTATAATTTTTAGAGACTTGCAAAGACTCGAAACACAAAACTCCAACTGATGCAAAATACGCCAGTTTTCAAAAAGTTTGCGGAAAACCGCAGATTTGTTCTATTTGACACAATTTTTGTTTTGTTTTCATTTTGTCCGTTTAGTACAAACCTGCTATAAGAATAGTATTTACAAAATCCGTCACTTAACTAATAAATGGTAATATATTTTGGGATTGTGCCGAACGAAAAAAAAACAAGAAATATTGCCGAATGGAAGGTTCCTGAAAATCATTCACGTAGATTTTTGCTTAGGAAACAACGAAAATGATTTAAAAATTTTGGGAAATGTAAAAGAGTTGCAGGTGTTAGACTGTTAGATAGAAAAAAAGTACAATTTTTCTAGAGGCCAAAACCGATGGCAAAACTTTCCTTTTATTCTTTTGCACTTGAAAATAGAGAAAAACTTTCTTATAAATTTAAAAATAATTACCTTCCTTTCGCCTTTTTCCTTCATTCCATGGTTGTCTTTTTCCCGATGTAAATAATGTGTTATTTATAACACCAAATATATTCAATCCCATCGTTAAATAGAAAATAATTCGCCATTGGCTAATATTTTGCTAAAAATTAAGAGTTATCAAAAGATTAAGCTTTACAATAACAACCCTATACACACATATGTCGCCGACGCTAATTCACATCGATTGCGCTCCAGAAAACCTCCGACTAGAGATGCAATAAACTTGAGTTCCAACAATTTCCAAATGAACTCCCAGTGCAAGAACATGCAGAGCGACAGAGCGAACCTAATAATGAGAAACACACCATGCATCACAGAAACTCCACCAGGTTTTGACCTCCCCCGAAAATCATGGTCAACTCTTAACAGGATAAGAACGGGTCATGAAGTCTGCGCAGATTCCCTTTATAAATGGAGGATGAGAACCTTTGCTGAGTGCGACTGCGGCGCCGAGAAACAGACCATCCAGCATATGATTGCCGAATGCCCTCGGAGGAAATATTATGGAGATCCTCTAGACTTCGCCTCTGCAACACCAGCGTCGATTGAATATATTAATACATTAGATGTTAGATTGTAACATATATGTGATAATGTTGTGTATCAAATTGCCATACGCTAAATAAATAAATAAAAATATGTGAAGTTGCACTAATTGATTGTTCTTACATTTACAATGATGGACATTTCGTTTTTCTTACTGCTTTATGAAAATGAAATTACCTCATTATGAAAACGAAATTACCAGAAACTACAAGGACATAATCACTTAATCTTTAATTAGTTACTTACCTCATCCTTTACAATAATCTGCGCCAAAACAGGAGCAAACGAAGATATAACGATAGAAAATCCATTAGTAAATCCCATCATAACTCCTGAAAAATTCGGAGCCAGATCCATATGGTTGACGACATGACCAGATTTACCAGCTCCGTGAGAACCGCTGACAAGGATAATACTTAAAATTGCATAGTTTTTATCATTTGCTCCGGTTGTAGTTAGCAAAAAGATAGCAACTGCTGGTATAAACATACCTGAAATATTTGTATGGGTGTATAAGTTCAGAAATTAAATAAGACATTCATTTTTTCACTACAGTAAAACCTTCCAATAGCGACCACCTTCGGAGAATCAAAAGCTACTCGCTAAAGAGGAGCTGATATGAGGTATTGTCACATCATTGACGATGGTTAAAATTTGGTACAATTTATAAAAAACTTACCGATATTGTTCATAATCTTTCTTATAACACTAGTGGAAATAGTGTTCTTTGCATACAAATAATCTGCTATGAAGCATGCTACAAATCCAACCAAAAATTCTATTAGATAAGGAAGAGACATCAGAAGGCTATTCTAAAAAATATATTAGCTGTCAAACAATGCATTAATAACAAAGTTACTTGGCATTAAACTTTTCTACAGTTCGGATGTAGAAATTTTTCGAGTAGGGACTTATATTCCCTGTAGGCAATCTAAGTCCATCGGCATATTGCCTGATAATTTAACAATTCTAAGTGTAGTTTAATTTATTTAAACTCAACTACTGTTTGGTAATGAGGTTATTTTGCAAGTACTACAAAGTTGACTGAAGATGGACTAATTAATTCGAAAAATTTGAACTTGATTCTTTTGGATTTCCAAAATTTACTTTTTAATCAAATATACCAGTTACAATGTAAGTGTTTTACTTCGATGTTCGAGTTGTTAAAACTATATTACATACAACCAACTCCTGGGAATTTTCCTTTTAAATGAAATCTCCAATTAACGTTTTACAAATTTGATTAGTGGTAGTACGTAGTTTATGTTTTAAAGTAATATGTATTTCGATAAGTCAATATTTTACTTGATATACTTACCGATTTAAGGTCGAAATGCATTATCTTGTCAAGATATATAGAAGTTTCCGATATAAACATCCAGTGAGTAAAGTTAAAACAAATATTGGTTATTAACAAAGCTATGAATGCCCTGGATGTAAGCATTTCCTTCCAAGGAACCATCAGGTTGTGCTAAAAACAGTAAAGTTTCTTATTACAAAACAATATGGTTCATTTTAAATTCTTTTTTCGTAATATTTATATTGATATTTACGAAATCTGCCATTGCTTGATCCTAGTCGTTCGTTTGTATATATACATAGAAGAGGCCCCAATGAAGACCATGGTGTTTACAAGATACCTTGTTCCAGTTGCTCACGTACATATATAGGACAGACAAGCCGATAAATCTATAACCGTATTGACGAACATTTTATATCTGTAAAACATTCCGATACTACTTTAGCCCTAATGCAACATTATGTTCAGACAGGCCACAAAATAGATTCTGAAAACGCAAAAACCATCACATTCATCCATTTCTTAAAAAGAAGCCAAAAAAGCAATTGAAAATTCAAAAAATTACTTGGCACTATTTTTCAACTGGAATATCTGAGGATATTCAGAAGTCAATAGAAAAGAAAAAAATGTACGCTCTCGTGAGTACCGAAATCTTTACTGCGTTATGGTTTTTAATAAATATTTAAAAAAAATGTGACTTTTTTCGTTCATATCAATATTTTGAAAAAACTACACATTGTTGTACAAGTAGATGCAGTAGATTAAAAGGTTCAACAGATGTGACAACAGACAAAAAATGTTAAACAAAGAGGTGTTACAAATTAAACCAAAAAGTTAACATTTTTTTCGTATATGAACCGTGATGAACAGTAGGTGTGTAATATTAGTATGACTACCAACATAGGGAAAATCAATGGGAGACCTACAGAGTAGTACAATGTGACGGTAGGCTTAATTTTTCTTCTTTTTCGACTGAAGACATGAGAACTAAGAAAATAGGTCCTTGGCGGAGGAAGGCAATGGATAGAGACGACTGGAAAGAAGTTCTTGAAGAGGCTAGGAACTAACCCAGGCACAGTTGTAAAGCTAGAATGATGATGATGATCATGATGATAATTACAATGATGATGATGATGATGTTGATGACGATGATGATAATGATGATAATAATGATGATGATGATGATGATGATGATGATGATGATGATGATAATGATGATGATGATGATGATGATTATGATTAAAAGCTTTTAGCGAGAATAGAACATGCAGGTGTTAATTCAAATTGTTTTTTCTAACAACAGATCGACTCCAGAATTAATATTTTCTTTATAACAGAAATAAAAGGGCCAACTCATGATGTTTTTTATAAGGCTTGACCTAAATTAACCGAAGACTAGATTTTGGCGATTTAAATATTGTGTAAATAATATTTAAGAAAGGGGTTCTGACAAGCAGGGTGGAGGTAATAAAATTTTGAGATATTTATAAGCTAAAGAGATTTAGCGAACAGCTCAACCTTTTTGAAAATACAGATACATTTAGAAAAAAAGATAATGAAGAAAATTATAGTAAAGCGGCCTGTTTAGGAAAGAAATTTATGTAACAAAGTATTATGATATGTTCTAAGCATTAATCCTCACTAAGCTCAAAATAGTCAAATGGTCAAATAGTCAAAAATGGTTAACCACAGTCAATCAAACGTCATAACGTTACCATATCCTTGCGTAGGATAAAGGACTGAGGAGGAGGAGAATATCAGTCCAGACTATTGGAGAAACATGCGTCAGTTTTGGTGAGTATATGACATAAAGTATTGTCAGTATCTTAATTTTATACAGAGTAGCCCAAAAGTCTGGAAACTGCCAATCATCTCGTAAATTACCAGACATAATTATACAAAATTTGAGGTACACCTATTTTGGGATACAGAGATTCCATATTTGATATTTGCAATGTTGCCAGATTTGCCGTTTCTCTTCTATTATTAGTAACTTTGGTTTTTCAAATACATCACCCTGTATATTCACTCATTATTGGAATATCCTTTTCAATGAGAGTGTAACCATATGTAACACTTATGATTTTATGTAGTCTGGAAGGTCTTAAATACATAAAACAGAAGTCTGGCAACGCCTAATTGTCTCATTAAATGTTTTAATACTAACTATTTTTAACTACATTAAAACGTAACAATTGATAGATTACAATATTTTTTAACATAATGGTTACTTTATCAAGTGTTCGAAATGTGCTCCATTTGTGAGTTGACATTATCCTAATCGATGGTAGAATGCGTCTACCACATTTTTCCATAATTGTTTAGAATTTATTCGAGATTCATCGATTTTTCGTTGCCTTAGTCCTGCAAGACTTGCTGGTTTAGTTTTGTAAACTAAATTTTTCAAGTATCCCCAATAAAAATAATCTTTAAAATTGAAATCGGGTGAACGTGGAGACCATTCAATTCTACCTCGTCTACCGATCCACTGTCCTGGAAATATCTCTTCTAAATAACCCCGAGCATTTACCCCAAAATGAGCTGGAGCCCCATCTTGCTCATATCTAATTAAAATTTTCACCAAACAAGTTTATCAGTGTAGGTACAATTTCATTTCTAAGTAGCATTTCGTAACTATCTGAAGTTAAATTTCCTTTGATAAAAAATTGCCCAGTTTACTGATTACCTACTATACCTGACCATACATTTAATTTTTGTGGTCTTTGAGTTTGGTTTTTACGCATCCAGTTTGGATTTACGTCACTTTAGTACCTTAAATTGTGTCGATTTACACTTTCACACAGTGTAAAGGTTGCTGTATCGGAAAAACATATTCTGTTAACGAAATTTTGATCCTTTTTCATTTTTTCCATCATTACTTCAGTAAACTCTAATCTACGATCGAAGTCGTCTTGTAACGATACGATAATTTGACTATTATCATCTTTTTTTAAACTACCCTTTATTAACTGGTATAATTATTCTATTGTTTTTTTGTAATATTTAATTACTATTTATTCCAAGTGAGTTGTTCAAGCATTAACATACTCTTTTACCTCATTGTTAGAGGACTGTGTAGATCAACTTTTTCATATATTTATATTTTTGGGTCATTTTTTTTAGTAACTGTTATCTTTTGTAAATATATATTTTTGGGGATATATTTTAATAATTAGTTGGTGTATATAAATATAGGGTTGGGATAGCATAGTAATTGTAATATATATATGCTTTATAGCATTTCAGATTTTTATTTGTTTCCTATCATATTTTATTTTAAGTTAGTATATAACTACATATATCCCAAATTGGAGTGAAATTCTAAATTCACCCTGGCGCCCATCCCAAGATCATCTTAGGATTGATCTGCTCTAACCTTAAGTTACTACAGGCAAGCAAACGTGCCAACCTCCTCTCTGAGAACTCTCATTCGCTTGAGCTAAGCCTATTCTATTGTAGTGCTTCCAGTATATTTTATATTTTCTTTTATATTGGTTACATTTCCGGTTGTTTAACCTTTTTATTTAAATAATTATTAATTAATTTTAAATTCTATTTAACCATACATCTTACATAATTCCTAATATTGGCCTCACCATTTCGGGCTTTTCCCTTTTTTCATTTGCAACAATTAGTTCTCTCCATTTTTATTAGCAACAATTATATAGGTGAATGAAATGAGGTTGAATGCTCGAATAAATGAACTTTGAAAATAAGGCTATTATCGAGCACAAGTTATTTAAATCTAGCCCAAATACTTTCGCTTAAAATAGCATCTTCAGGGGCATTTCGTCAAAATGTGAACTATCCGGCAAGCGTAGAATGTGGAAACATTAAAAATAACATAAAATTGTACAAAACACTACACTAAAACGAGGACAAACAGTTTAAAATTCTTGTCCTTGTTCTTCTGTTCTTGTTGTAAAATTTTTAAACTGTTTGTCCTCGTTTTAGTGTAGTGTTTTGTACAATTTTATGTTATTTTTATTGTTTACACATTTTACGCTTGCCGGATAGTCACATTTTGACGAAATGCCCCTGAAGATGCTATTTTAAGCGAAAGTACTTGGGCTAGATTTACTTGTGCTCGATAATAGCCTTATTTTCAAAGTTCAATTATATAGGTAACAATCTTCACTTAATTCTTGCAATAAGTTAATTTTGTATCATTTAAAAATATTCTTATGTAATACATGTAAGACTGAAGAACGACCTACATCATGTACTTGTGAAACCCTGTGTGAGAATGTATGTGGATTTTCAACAAAACTTTGCATTATATCTAGTTTTGTTGTCAATCATAACTCTTTTCGGTCTAACTGATCGGTATCTATCTAGTAAATTCGTAATTCGTAAATTGTAAATTTCTTGTCATAATTTTACAAAATTTGGTGTAAATGTTCGGCGTTATTTAGAAGATGTATTTCCCGGACGATGGATTGGTAGACGAGGTAGAATTGAATGGCCTCCACGTTCACCTGATTTCAATTCTAAAATTATTTTTATTGGGAAAACTAAACCAGCAAGTCCTATAGAATTAAGGCAACGAAATATCGATGAATCTCGAATAATTTCTAGACAATAATGGAAAAATGTAGTAGACGCATTCTACCATCGATTAGGGTAGTGTCAATTTACATGGAGCACATTTTGAACACTTGATAAAGTAACCATTATGTAAAAAATGTTGTAATCTATCAATTGTTTCATTTTAATGTAGTTAAAAATAGTAAATATTAAAAAATTTATTGAGTCAATTAGGTGTTGCCAGACTTTATGTTTTATGTATTTAAGATCTTTCAAACTACATAAAATCATAAGTGTTACATATGGTTGAACTCGTATTGAATAGGAGATTTCAATAATGACTAAATATACAGGGTGATCAATTTGAAAAACCAAAGTTATCAATAATATAAGAGAAACTGCAAATCTGGCAACATTGCAAATATTAAATATGGAATCTTCGTATCCTAAAATAGGTGCACTTTAAATTTTGTATAATTATAACTAGCAATTTACGAGATAATTGGCCGTTTCCAGACTTTTGGGCCACTCTGTATATGAGCTGTATGTTGATAAAAGGATCGAAATCTTGATGATATTTGTCGAAGTCGCATCAGTACATCTAACTTTGTCATTATTCGATAACTTTGTCATTATTTAATTATCTATATGCTAGTACAGATGGACATCATGTTATAATACTTAATGCCGCTGTAGTGGATGCCTAATTTATATTACTTACCCTGTCAGTCGCAGTGTTTAAACTATTTATAATATAATTCTTCTCCTCTTCACTAATTGTGGGATGACTTCTTGGATCGTTGCTACCAATATAGGCATAAATAGCCACAATAATCAATGTGATTGTATTAAAGAGATAAAAGACCATTGGCCATCCATAACGCGTTGAAGATATGTAACCAGTTAATATTAAGGAAGAAACTATACCTAGTGGTGCACCTGAAACATTTATATAAAAATAATAACTTAAATACAATTGAGCTTTTTGCTCTTGAGCTTTGAGCTCTTTGATGTTTTTTCAAGGCTTCCGAGGTCTCAGTCTCCTGGAGCCATCAGATACAACTTCAGTGATCACTAACCAAACAATTACTGCTACAGAAAACAGCAAACGTTTATTTCATACCGTCTTAAATGTTGGGCTTAATTTCTTTTTCTAAGATTTCATACCCATTTCTTTGTTTTATAGAATCATTCTATATTCTACAAAATTAAATGATCTTACCTGAATAAACAAAAGTACCAAGTCTACTTCTTTCCGGAACTGGTATCCATTTGCCCAATACTGCATGCATCGATGGATATAAAAACCCTTGAGATAAACCTTGTAGAAATCGGCACATCATTACCCCTTTTGAGCCAAGATATATCGCTGCGGAAGGCATCAGTAGACCAGCCGTTGCCGTCATTGTGGTACTTCCGACTAAGAACCATTTGGCCCCATATCTGTCAGATACGTATCCTGCTACTACTTGGGGAATGCAGTAGCCCCATAGAAATGATGCCATAATCAAGCTTTTGTCATTCCAGTTGTAAGTCTGTAAAATTAAAACAACGTTAAACAGGTTATATAGGTAGCATATTGAATAGTGGAAATCAAAAGGAAAAGAGACGCCAAATTGTATGATGAGATAAGTTAAAGCAAAGTATTTACAATACATTTCTTAAATAAAGTAAAATGGTGGTTAACCTTTATCGGACGGGCCTCAAAAAATTACACAAAGAAAGTACTACAGTACTACATTATTTTTATAGTATTGAACATTTATTAGACTAAAGCATACGCATTACTGTAAAATACATTTTACACAGTTTTACTGCTGACGCTAACAGACTAAATAACAACTACATACTATTTGTACAATGTACACAAACTATCTTTGATTTTGCGTGTTCTATTCATACGAAATTGTTACATTTTACACATATTTTACTAGTTTCTCTGTCTTTCCCTCTACAACATGTATTTTACCCCCTTGTATTTTTTGTTTGCTCTATTCTGGGCTCAGTAATATTCAAAAGTTCTGGGAATATGTCAACCATATGACGCTTTTTATTCTTTTCGATGTGCTTGTTGTTATAACGTCTGAAAACATATTCCTTTATAAGTGCCATTATTATTATTCCTTGCCCAGTGCCAAAATATACATTTTACGCTTACTCTGTAGCGTTTTAAATTTTATAATACGTCCCTGTTCGTTTATCTCGTCAGTACGCATAAAGATTGCCATAAAATCTGTGTTTGTCTTTTACGATATATTTTTTGGATATATTTGGATATATGGATATATTTTTTGTCTATGTGTATTTTCAAATCCCATAACCTTTTGTTACAAAGTCAGGTAGAACTCCGGTTTAAAAACTACGTGCTATTTTGTTAATCTCTAATATGTTATATCTATTTCGACAAGTTTTTTGTCGCATAAAGGGATTATAATTTATGATGCCCCCTAATAAAAAAGAGGTTTTATTTGTTTTTCATCGTTAGAAGCCCCTAGGTAAGTCTTTGTTGTCGGTCGAGATGAAGCACAGGTCGGGGTTGTATTCCCCGTACAAATGTACAAATTGTACAAATTATAACAACTTTATGAGAATTAATTTCATATGAGATAAAGGGCTGGCCGGGGTATTAGGAGACCCTAGCCTATAAAATTGAAGTTTAAATTTAACCTAACCGTTAAATGTTCTTGTAGGCATAGTTTTTATCAATACAATATAAAAACTATAGATAAATGGAAGACTGTCGATTAAAAGTTAAGATCTATGACGTAACAGCCAAAAATTTTGATCTGGTGTCAAAATAGACCCCGGACAGTCGATTAAGTTATCGAGTACATTTTATTTTGTCACATTATACGAATAATAGTTAGAAATATTTATTGCATTTAATTTATTTATAATAACTAGGTTTAAGCAAGGGTTCTTGCTTAAACAAGCAAGTAAGGAATATTTTGCTATTAAGTATTTTTTTTTAATTTTAATTTAATGTAGTAAATAACTTACCGGTATATCTTTATTACTGCTGGCGTTTGGATCGGTCATGGCTACTATGGCGACAGTCAATGCTGTTCTGATGATAAAGCAAAAATGTAGCAAAATACAAAGAATAAGTGCTTGTGAATGTCTCTTGCCAATGGTTGGTCCTAAAATTTGTGGTTTAGATGTTTATATCTTTGAAATTTCTAGTAAACATAGAGCCTACATAGATACATATGTTGCAAAGTTCGAGTTAATTATTCCATCAGTAGACTTTATGCAAGAAGATTTATTATTCTTAGAAATGGAAAATTATTTTTACAGTTTGTGCAAAAGTAAATATGGCGCTTCATAAGAGGTCAAACAACGGAAAAAAAGAAGTTAATAGAACCAAAACACATAGAAAAGGATATGTGGATTGACTATCTAAAAATCTGTATGCAGAGGAACAAACGACGCTAAAACCAGTAACACCAAAAATAATCACCAATGAAAAACTTAATATAAGTGTACAAAAAGTTCGTAAAATAAACATAAAAGATGGTGAAAGTAAACATATGAATACAATAATATAATGGCCAAAGATTGATTATATTTGCAATTGAAAACAGGATGAAAATAATGAGCATGCATTTCAGGAGAAAAAATATATATAAAGGAGCGTGGAAAATTCCGGGATCAAGACTCAGATTATTTTTGGTTAGAATTAATATAAGCGAAGCAATAATTGGATTATAAGTGAAGCTTGGACACTTAAAAAATCCAACATTAAAAACCTAGAAGCATTCGAAATGTGGTGTTATCGACGCATTTTGAAAATATCATGGATGGATCGCAAAACAAACGAACAAGTTCTCGAACAACTAGGAAAACAATGCGAAGTTTTAAATTCCATAAAGATCAGGAAATTGGAATACTTGGGGCACATCATGAGAGGTGAAAAGTACGAACTACTAAGGAATATAATGCAGGGTAAAATCAAAGGTAGAAGAAGCGTAGGAAGAAGTAAAATCTCGTGGCTCCTCAATCTCCGTGAGTGGTTTGGATGCAGTTCAATTGAACTATTCAGGCGAGTAACCAATAAAATTATAATTGCCAGAATGGTTTCCAATCTCCGATAGGAGTGGAACTTGAAGAAGAAGAAGAAGCAATAATTAAAAAGCATAAACAGAAAAAGAAAGTGCAACGTAAATTTAATTTTTAAAAAACTGCGACAATTGGAGGTAGTGCAGAATTATCAAAAGGATATACAAGAAACCTACGCCAAACAAGATAGTGCTACTGTGAGTAACATACAATAAAAGTTCTTGAATATGACAAAACATTATAAAGGAAGCAACGGCGAAGAACATACCAAAAACAAAGAGATTTAGAAAAAACCACTAAAAAAAAGTAAAGAAAATCCTAAGGGAGCGGAAGCGAAAGTATATGGATGATAAAGTAAAACGTATTGAAGACAATTACAAGAAGAAAGAAAAAAAATTTTCACAAAGAGGTAGGAAGAGATGCTAAATGACGGATTGGCTATTGAAGAAAATTATATTGTTCCTAAACCTCAAATAGGAATAGAAGAAATACCAAAGCCCACAAGAGAAGAATGAGAAGAAATAATAAAAGATATGAAAAATCAAAAAAGCCCCGGAAAGAGCGGCATTGTGGCAGAGAACTTAATATATGGAGGATGGGCTTTAATAAATCAACTTAATGAGCTAATACTAGAATTGTAGGATACCGAAAAATGCCTCAAGAATGGAATAAGTCAATTATAATTCCTATACACAAAAAGGGAGATAACACTGGGCCAACTATAGAGGAATATCATAGTATATGAGGAATATCCTTCTATATAAAGGAAGATCAACAACCGATCAAATTTTTATGCTAAAACAAATCTTGATTAATTGCTATGAATACAACATTTTAGCACAAATACTGTTCATTGATTACAAAGCCGCCTACGATACAATAGACAGAAACAAATTAATAGAAACGCTAAAAAAATGTGCCAGAAAAAATGGTAAGATTGATAAAAATGACAATTAGACAAACTATTTGTACTGTGAAATGCAACGGTACGGTCTCAGAAGAATTCGAAATGAAAAAAGATGTTCGCCAAGGAGACCCATTGTCTATATTGCTATTCAATATAGTTCTAGAAAAAATTGTAAGGGTGAGTGGGATAAACAGGTCCGGCACTGTTTTATATAAGGAGCACCAATGCTTAGCATACGCTGATGATGTGGTTGTCATTGCAAGAAATGGAAAAGAACTGGCAAATATAGCAAAAAGACTGATTCGGGAAAGCTCTAAAATGAGACTGAAAGTTAATATTAATAAATCGGAGTACATAGAAAAGAGGAGATAGAGTTACTAGTTCAGGAAAAGAAACAAAAATATTTAAAATGGTTGGCAACAAACAATGAACAAGATCTGGAAGATTATAAACAAACAAAAAGACAATTAACAGCGGGCATTAATTTAGCTAAGAACGAGACGTGGGATAAGAAATGTGAAGAAGTTAACAATTATATCGGAGGAAGAAAATGCTCGGAGGTATGGAAATTTATATCAAATGTCAAGAATCCAGCAAAGGACAGAGCAAATATCCAGATAATCAAACCGGAGCAGTGGATACAACACTACAAAGGTCTACTACAAGAAACTATACAGAAATACATGATACAATATGCAAAACATTTTGTAGTAAATGGAGAAGAAGTAGAGGTATCCGAAGAAACAGTAAAAAAGACAGTTTTGAACCTTAAGCTTGCCTTATAATAATAGTCAAGACTATAGCTTGGAGAGTACCTTAGCGCAAAAAAAGAGAGGAAGACCAAGAAATAAATGAAGATATGTAGTTATGGAAGATGTCAAAGAGATGGGAATCAGAAATTGGAAGCTGATAGCTTATAACATAAATCGATGAGAATTATTCATCCAGCTATGAGCCTAAAAGGCCTGTTAACGCTGTACATACATACCAAACGAATTACTGAAATATTGTGGAGTATCAATGACAGAACAATTAATAACATTAAATTAATAAAATTATAAAACACAGTAGAATACCGTAAGAATGGAGAACGAGCGAACTAATTCTACTTAAAAAGGAAATAAAGAACAGCCAGGAAACTACAGAGCTATAAACTTGTGTAATACTACCCTAAAACTTACAACTAAAATTTTACAAGTGCTAATAAATCAGAGGATAAGTTTAGTAGATCAACAACAGGGTTTTCGTAGTAAAAGATCATGTAGAGATGCAATATTCGTTATAAAGCAAATTACTAAGAAATCATTAGAGTATAATAGATCAGCATTTCTGTGTCTGATTAGCTTAGAGAAAGCTTTTGACAGAGCTTTTTCTGACTCAAAGAAAAAGAAGACGTCATAGATTACAGTGGAAAAGGGAGACCTCACGGAAGAATTTATATATGACAAGAAGAAATGGCTATTGGGATATGGTAAAAAACAAAATAAGCTGTGTGAAACCGCGGACAAGTATTACAGACAAGATGTTAAAATGGCGTTATATAAAGCAAATGACAAAATTAAAGACAATGTAGATATTTTTTTCGTCAGTATAAAAATAGTTGATACTGAACGCGTCGTAAATCATTAAAAATTTAGCACTTACCTTTATTTATAACCACATCCTTATTTAACAACCCTAAAGCCTCTTGGGCTTTTTCTTCGGCTACATTCTGTGTTTTACAACTCATTTTTGATGGTAATTACTTATTTTAAGGCTATAGGTATCTGTCCATACTAGAACCAAACCTGCAAATGCTCAGCCCAACACTAACTGGAAAACTTTACTTGTTTTCAAATTACGACAAAGGATTAGCAGTGTCAAATATCTGAACAAAGGAGGAATAGCAAAATGTATCCGTGAACAAATAAAACTATTCTAAATAAAGAATTTACGTTGAGTGATAAGAAAAAAATGAACTAAAGACTTAGTTGACGGATCTGCCAAGTTATTTTTAAAATAAAATTTAATATTAATTATGTTAGATTAATTTAGTAATCGTTAGTTAATTGCGATACATTAAATGGTTTAAACGTGTGATATGTAGAATTTTTAGATCGTCGATATAAACTTGTGCATGTAATTATTTTAATAGCTACATTTACACCGCAATATTTAGGTGGATAGCTAGTGTGTCCAACTAGCCCGAAAAATCCGGGACATGGCCCGAATTACGAAGTCGTATCCCGGCGTCCAATAGGCTTCCGGGCATCGAATTTTTAATTTTTGGTAAAATTCTATTTTAAATTTTAAATACGTTATTTTTATAAGAATTCACATTAAATTGAATTGTTGGGACGAAAATTTCTAGAGTGTAATAACTTTAATACTAATACCACATCCAAATCGCATGCATTTTATCGTTGTATTATGTTATAGGAAAACTCAAACTGAGCTTTTTTCGTTTCTGTATTTTAATTATCCTCTTCCGAAAAGATATTTCAAAAACGATAACAACTCATGTGTTGTATACACATCAATCATGCCGACCCCGAAGTGTGCTGCAGTCAACGATGTAATGATTGCCGATAAATGTTTTTTTTTGTTTTTGTCAACCATTCTGAGTAGGTAAACAATCTTGATTTCGTTCGCACTATATTCTTGAAGAATAAATATTCATTTCCAAACCGTTACGTGCTTTGAACCAAGATCAAATCTGCTGCGTTGCAATATGATTTTATGTAAACATTTATCTTTTATTTATTTATATAGGTACAGCATCCATTTACTTACAATTCTTACAAAGTTACATCTTAAAAACAATAAATTATTAAAATAACAATCACAATTTTTACAAAGTTATACCTTAACAACAATAAATTATTAAAATAACCAACACCTCAGAATAATATAAACATATAAGAATAATACCCTAAGAACAATAATGGGGGAAAACAAGAAGGGACAGAGTGAGAAATACAAACATTAGAGAGCAGTGCAAAATTCAAGATATTGTAAGATGGGGAAGACAGCGCAAGAGGATGTGGTACAACCATGTAAGACGAATGGATGAGAATAGACTCCCAAAAATTGCCCTAAGAAAACAATCCGCCTGGTTCAAGACCCCCCGGAAGACCACCTAAAGATGGAGGGATAGTTGGCAATCTACCTCCCAAGAAATTAACCAGAGGCAGCTTCAGAATTAAAACAGATCGAAAGATCTACAAAAAGTAGAAGAAGAAGAATAATACAGATGTACAACAAACTTATTGTAAGATACTTTTTAGTTGCTTTTTAAACAAACTAATTTTGGAGTCAAAAATATCTATTTGTCTTGAGCAGGCTATTAGCACTCCGGACCAATCCTGTAGTTGGTTCATTGATACCATAATTAGTGTGATGAAATGGCACCGAAAAGATTTCTGATTGTCTGTTGCTTTTACTAGGAACTTGAAGACTAACAAGCAATAAGAGTTGAGGACAATCTATAAAAGCATTGATAACTTTGTGTAAGAAACATAAATCAAACAATGGCCTCCTTGACACAAGTTTTGGTAAGTTAAGACTACCTCTGACCCACTGATAGTCGTATTCCTCTCTCCTGTATCAACTCTTATAGGTTGCTACCCCTTAAAAATTTATTCTAGACTCTTTCTGTTGAATGTAACAGTGGTATGATGGGGACCATACAACTGATCCAAACTCCAGAATGGGCCTAACGAGACCCAATAAAGTCTTCTAAATGTAAACAAAGACAGGTCCACAGATGTGCGTTGAATAAATCCAGCACTTTCATCGCTCTGTTTGTTACTTGGTTAATATGGCTTGATAATGACAGTTTGGTGTCTAACCAGATTCCCAAATTTAATACTTCATTTTTCGAGGCTAATGGCAAGTTATTTATGTAGTAAACAAATGTAATTGGATTTCTTTGCCTCGAGAATGTCATTTTATGACATTTGTTTATATTGAGTGACATTTTGTTTAAAGTGCACCAATCATAAAACGATTTAAGATCTTTCTGTAATATAACAGCATCATTCCAAGATTGAATTTTTCTAAACAGTTTTACATCGTCAGCAAACATAAGAACACTACCATTTTTGATTTGTTGTACTAAATCAACCAGAAACAAGCAAAACAAAACAGGGCCACAATGGGAGCCTGTGGCACGCCTGATGGAACTGATATTTCAATTGAAGTGTCACTTCCCAAGTTAACTGCCTGCATACGGCCATTAACAAATTTTGTAATCCACTGAAGAAGGGGATCCAAAATACCCAAAGCTCTTAGTTTTTGTAAGAGGACCCCATGGTTTACCCGGTCAAATGCTTTGGAAAAAGTCAGTATAGATTAAATTAAATTCTTTATTTTCTTTTTGACAAACATAGTTTGTATAGAATTAGTCATAAATATACATTGCTACAAACTAAACACTAAACTAGACTAAACAAGACATGAAATGAATTTAAAAGCTAAACGAAATACAGCTAATATCTAAGATCTAAAAAATTCTTCGATTGTATAAAACACTTTTTCACATAAAAATTGCTTAAGATTCCTCTTAAATACATTTATTGAACTGGTGGACTTTACAACTGTGGGTAAATGATTAAACACCTGTAGCCCGTATACCCTGGGCGATTTAAGTTTAATGTTACCTTTTGAAAATGGTATATAAAGTTTATTACAATATCTAGTATTTAAATTATGCATATCACCACTCGTTTTAAACTGATGTAAGTTATTAAAAATAAAAACACATAATTCAAAAATGTATAGACACGACAATGTTAAAATTTTATATTTTTTAAAATATTCTCTACAACTAGTTAGTCGGGAGACACCAGCGACAAAACGCAATATTTTCTTTTGTATGACGAAAATACCAGATTGAGTCAACCTGACTTTATGTCACTAATCAGTTTGAAGCCTTAAATCGATTAGTGATCATCTACGAAGGTCCGAAGCATTGTTTAGTTGACTTTACATTTTTCATTCCTTTTCGACCACCAGAGTGGTAGACCGGATGTAGTGAGTCACATCAAAAGTGACAAACACCAAAGAGGTATAAGCGCAAGCAGCAAAAAATTGACTGCATTTTTCAAGGCAATAGCACAGAAAAATAAACAATCAGAAGGGCCACTCTCAGATGCCGCCTTTGAAGTTTTTCAGCAAGCGCGCCATGTTTTAGGAGGACACAGACATATGATTTGTGTGGTTATGTAATTGTTTATATTTATGTTTAATTATATTATATTTATGTTATTATATTTAACAATGTTAATATAATTGTATAGTATGTCTATGATTGCTGTAAGTCAAATAAACCTGGTTAATTTTTCCATGCAGACCACATAATAAACAACACTATTTTCTTTAAAATCCTCCTAAAACATGGCGGAACGTCTGCGCGGAGGAGATGCGCGTACTTAATTTTCCGTGGAGAGTGGGTATTCTGTTTGTTTATTATTCTGTGGCAATAGCGACATCGAGCAATATTGATTTAGAGACAGCAGCTCCGGAAGGTGCTTGGACATATCATATGATTAAGTAAAATGAAAATCGCTCAGCTGATTGCTCATCAAAAATATTTCGGAATTGGTTTGGATTGACCAAATTTTAGTCAGCTCGTACTAAATGTGAGGCAATTGTTAAAAATGTCTTTGGTCCGTACATCGAAAATCAATTGGTTGATGCAATGAATAACGCAATATACGTCAGTATAATTACCGATGCATCTAACCATGGAAACGTGAGGATGTTCCCGGTTATAGTGAGATATTTCATTCCATTAGAAGGCATGAAAAGGAAAATATTGAATTTTACGGCTGAAGATGGGGAAACATCTGATATTATTGTGTAGCTCTTGAGGAACACTGTTGAAAAGTACAACATCTCAAGACAGTTGGTTTCATTCTGCGGCGATAATACTAATACCACGGCGATAATACTAATAATAATATTTCGTGATAAAAACCTAGGTGGCCAAAACTATGTTTACTACAAACTAAAATCACAGGTGAATCCAAATTTGATGGGAATCAGTTGTGTGGCTCACATTATTCACAACACTTTGCAATGTGGCTGCAATATGTTATCATTTGATGTGGAATTAATTATGGTAAAAATTTATTCACATTTTTATCGTTTCACCGTTCGTGTCACATATTTGAAAGAGTTTTTTAAAACCGCAAACGTTGAATACCAGAAAATTCTTGGTTATGGGAAAACTCGCTTTTTGGAAATATTCACATGCGTACAATCAATCTTACGAGTTTGTGATGGATTAAAGGCGTATTGACTGGAAACTTCAAACAGCCCAAGCTACTGAAGGATTTTTTCAAGGACCCATGTTTGAAAGTTTGGTTGTTGCTCATTCTTTATCAGGTATAAGCAGCTTTACATCTAGGCAATGCAAGTCCCATGCTATGCAAGTCTGTCTTGCATGGAATATCTCTTGCCTAGCCTGTTTACATCAGAGCTATTTCTGTGCAATTTTTGATACCACTTTTATTGTTGCCAAAAAAAGAAATATACCAAAACATTAACTTTCAGATCAGAATTAAATATATTAAAATACAAATCACAAATTATTACATCCAATAAATAATATTATAAACTTACACAATAATATGTGATAATGTTCAGTTTTATTCTAAACTATAATATTATTATACTTTCAACATGAATTTTGATAGCAACTTGCAGCAAAATAGTATGAAAAATTTAGCACGTTTTAGTTTTTTC